CCACACACGCGCGCGCGCCGCCGTCCGTCCGGTCGGGCGGGCTGGGCCTGGGGTTGGGCTTCTAATCTTTTTGGGCCAAAAACATTTGAATTTAATTTTATTTTTTATTAAAATAAAATCCAGAATTCAAATTAAATTGGTTTGGATTTTTGGATTTATTGCTCATCCAAACAGAGCCCTTCCCGTTTATATCTGTTTGAATAAACATATTCAAATCTGTTTAAATTTGACACCTTTACATCTTAAATAGACTAGCCTCCCATTTGGATTTTACTAAAAATTTTCGTACTCCATCCTCTGCAAATTATATTCTTCATCTTGCTGCATTTTATTTCCGAAAGAAAGAGTATAAACACTTAGTGTGTTCGTAAGGCAAACAATTTGTAGTGCTGCTATTGTTTGTGGTAAGATCATTTCATCCTGGGAGATAGACGTCCAAATTCTGATAGCACCGTGGAGAGGACGAATCTGTCTTAAGGACACAGTGTTTAACACTGGACTTGATCAGAAAAGTTATTCAAATAAATTAACCAAGTAAGTTGTTTAATTTTATTCTGATTTTTATTCTGTTTATTTAATCAGATTTTATTTTTGTTTTTGTAACAAAATAAAATCTGTGGTTTTATTTATTTATTTTTATTTCGAGTTTGATTTTTGTAATCAAACAAATTCTCTCCTTTTCTCTATTTCTTTTATTCTTGTTGTTGTTTTGTACACAACAGAATTTAATCTTTTTAAATATAGTGAAGATTGTCCAACAATTGATAATATTGATTTTATCATTTTGAGTACTGATACACTTCTCTTATCAAATTGAACCGAAACCAAACCGAACAGAATGGATTGCAACAGTTTGGTTCTGTGAGATTTAATTGGTTTAGAACCTTTCAAACTATAGTCATTTTTAGTATAGCCACTAATCGACGTAAAAATATTGAATTAGTTATTTGTCCATTATTTGAAACATATCCAATCTATCTATTTAATAAATATTTTTCAATTCTTAAATTATCAAAAATACAAACAAAAAATAAATAAATAAATACTAAGGCTTTATAAATTATAAGTTAGACGTAAGATTATATTATACTTATTAATATCTTAGGTTATAGAGATGATAAGATTAATTAATTGAGGTTAATAATTTATTATACTTATTAATAGTATTATATTATTAGATTATATAAATAATATATACAATATATATTGAAATAGTCGGTTTCGGTTTAGTTCGATATACAAGGTGCATAAATCGATACCAAACTGAAAATAGAAAAAAATCAAATTAAAAAATCGCATAGACCGATTATCGTTCAAAAATAGACCAAATATGGCCGATTTGGTTCGGTTCAATTGGTTTGATTGATTTTTTTCTTACATCCTATATGTTGAGAGTGCAAAACCCACATTTGAGGGGAGTCCCACATTGTATTAACGCTTGAGAACCTACGCCACCATGATCATCCCAATTTCATGCACCCAGAATTCCAACCACATATTATCAGCAAATTCCACATTGTAACATCATACGAATGAAAATCACAAAACAAAAATATAAGAACAAAAAATCACAAACTCGAAAAAAAGAGAGAAATCGAATACACGTATTTCACACAAAACCGAACCACGCAACAACCCTAGAAGGATATCCGTACCAAAAATTCACATCCGACAAAATTTTTCACAAACCCAATAAATGCACAAACCCTAATAGGACATTCGTACCAGACATTCACACCAAAAAGAAAAAGAAAAAAAAGAACAATACTTACTTTTTTATCCCATTATCATCGATCACGCTTCTACAGAATTCAACAGCAGCTCTGACCCCCCCAATCGCCGATGCTTGTATTCTTGTGGTACAAAATCGGATGTAACAATGGAAATATGGAACCACAATGTAGGGTTTTTGCACATTTGTGTAACCAAATTTGAATGGAACACTATGGATAGCAGTGGCAATCTCGCGTTTCTATTCTGACGGATTGAATAGTGTGGGATGTTCAAATCCACCGTGGTGTATATTTCTGATTATGGGAATCTTTCTGTTTTGGGGTTGCTTGATCCATGGAATTCTTCAAATATACCAACTAGGACCACAAAAACCTATAGTGTGCTTTGAGCAAATGTGTAATTTCACGGCATGGGGAACTCAAATAAAAATTTTCAAATTCAAACAATTCTAGGGCCATCTTCAACGTTTAATCAAATCCATCATCAAATTTGAATTTGGTAAAAAAGTATAGTTTTTTTCTCTCCAACAGTTTTATCAAAACTATATTAAATTGAGAACATTCCAAATCTTTTACCAAACTGAGGATGCTTTGGGCCTTTCATCAAAGCACTGTTCATTACCGCTGTATTTTCACTATCGGATGTCCTCTCGGATAACCACGGCAAAATTTTGTGAAAATTTTACACTAGGAAGTCGACCCCTTGGTCAACCCCTCGGATGACCTCTCAATTGGTGAAAATTTTATATTGGCCGGTCGACCACCCGGTCGTCTGCCTGGTTGACTGGTAGTTTGATAAAAAGACAAATTCTTCCATTGGAGTAGGTGATATCGAAGAGAGTTTTTACTCAAATTTGATAAAAAAATAATGTAGCGTTGGAGATGCCCAAATAAGTTACACTAAAGAGGAGCATCCTTGCCCTTACTGTGAACTTCAATTTCAGAACAACCTACAATACCTAGTTTCAATTAAAATTCAATCATTCACTTTTCATTTTTTTTAAAAAAAAATAATTAAAAAATAGAAACTTTATTTGATAAATTTGACATAGCATATAATCAATCAAAACAAATAACAAGCCTATTTGACAAACATAGCAACACAGCAAGATAACAATCTCAGATAAACATACACATCAATGGTAAAATGTACCTCCAACAAAATCTCTTGCAAAACATTCTCATGAAGTTGAAGTTCAAAGCATTGAAAGTTGACAAAAATCAACTACTTTGTTGAAACCAACAAAATATATTCATCCCTTGTCAGCTTCTCTGCCCTTAGCCCCATGAACAGTGTCCATTGGCGGCAATGTCTGCATATTACATAACAAAATTCCATAAACAAGTCCCAAAAAAAAAAACACAAAAAAACAAAACAAAACAAAACAAAAACAAACAAACAAATTGCTTCTTGAAAGCCGCACAAAATTGGATTGAAAATATCCCAACCTAATTGCCAAACCCAAATAATTTTTGAAACTGTCATTGTCATGTCATCTATTTTGTGTAAAAGTTCTATTTGTGTAACATTAGGTTATAGAATTTAGATATCCAATGGAGTTACATTAGCCACCAATACCACCAATAAATTAACTTTTGTAATATATTCGTGTACGGGAAAGGAATAAACCTTCTCGTATAATCCTATTGATCAAGTCTGCGCTCCTCCGTACGACGTCGCTTTACTCCCTGAAAACACAAACGTGAGCTAGCCGGCGGGTGTGTGCCGGAAACCCCTCCAATGCTTAAGTCAGCAAAATAGACAAGTAGGCAAAAAGCTCTGTGTATCAAAGAACCAAAGTTGTGTTACCTCTCCATAGGTGATGTTTGTGAGCTTTTATAGGTTTCGTGTGCCTATGAATCCTAGGAGGACTCTACATGGAGGAGTAATAGAGTGAGATTAATCATGGATAGTGTTTCTTAATATTTTTATGTTTAATTGGAGATGAAAGTGTTATAAATTCAATAAACTAGCATACTTGGACGACACTTTGAAATCTCTGAGACATTTTATCAAACAGGTCATAGGCAATATAGGGGAGAGAGAGAGAGAGACCAAATCAGGCTTGAAGATGTTGTGAACGACGGAGGCGCCAGCAAGAAGCGAAACGACGACGACGACGCACGACCACGCTAGCGACGGAGTACCGGTGGGCTACCTCCGTCCTTCGAATTTCTGATTCATTTCGCACAAACCCCAAGTCTTAATTTGTATATATATGCTGAGTTACAAGTGTGTTTGAGATCAAACAATTGAGAGTAATTTAGGTGGCGTCGCTAGCATTTTAGAATTATGATTTGATAATACAGTTATATTTTGAGTTTATTAGTTTTGAAATTATAATTTGAGTGTAGAAAATTTGTTGGGTTATGAGTTTTAAATTAAGATTGAAATTTTTGATGTGACGTATGATATTTGATTTAAAAATTTATAGCTTATAATCAAACACATAACTTAAAATTCTATTTAAAACTTATAAAAAAAAATTTAAAAATTTTGAAAATATTTTTTATTTACAATATAAAAAAATAACGGGTGCCAAAAAAAAATAAAAATCAACATTGTTTCGGTCAACCAGCCGGACGTCTTAGGAGACGTCTGGAAGGATGACCGGGTACACCTGTTTTCAAAAGTGGGTGTAGAATCACGTTTCCAGAGCTCAAACCAAACACAACATTCAAACTAAGGACTAAAAACAAATTTCTAGAGCTCCACCAAACACAGATAGTTTAGGAAAAATTATGTACCGTTTGGAGTAGGGGAAAAAAATTATTAATATACTAGAGGTGTAAATGTCTGTTGTAAGATGCAAATGAAAGATTATGGGATGCAAGTGTTACTTGAACTCCTTAAGTATTGGTCATTTTTTTTTCATTATCCTAATTGCGTGTAGTTCCCCTTTAGTTTATTAAAAGATATAATGAGTTGAAAGTCAATAAAATAAAATATCACATTTAAATAAGAATCGTTTCACTTTTTTTTTTCCTATAAAATTATAAAAAAATCAAAAATTTATCTAAAATAAAACTTTTTTAATCAAATTAAAATAACCAAAAACTAAAAAATCAAATTAAAAAAATTCTTCACAAATGAAGACTAACTGAGATCCTCTCCGATAGGTCTTAAAATGATTTTGCTGTAGTTTTAGCGGTGCGATTCGATGCAATTTTGAGATAAAATTATAAATAAACCCATGAATGATGGATTGATAAATTATCAAATTGTGATTTCGATAATTTAGGTGATTTCAATTTGTTAATTGAAGAATAATCTTAAATAATAATAACACTAATTAATTTTACATTTTTTATATATATATATATAATATTAATTTACAATAAATTCCACATTCTAAATCTCACTTATAACATATTTTTGTGGGTATAAACGGTTGAAAAATGTTAAAAATCTCAAATATTTTACCAAATGTTCTATCAAAAAAATACAAAAAATAAAAAGTAAAATTTTCTAAAAAAATGAACTTTGAAAATCAAAACCAACTAAAGTTATCTCTTTTATATTAAAATATGTATTACCTTAGTTTACTAATGTCTCTTCACACCTTAGAAGATCAGTGTAAAAAAAAAAAAAAAGGAAATTGCCCCAGGACCCCCTTTCCCCCCCCCCCCCACGTGGGGGTTGGTGATTGGAAGAAAAGAAAAAAGAAAAAAAAAATGGGCTGACCAATGAAATGCGACTGGGGGTGCTGGGGTCCGAGTTCAGATCCTCTCCTTGCAAGCCATACTTGCGAGCGTCCTTGCAACGGCTGAGATCAGTCGTTGTACATCCAACGGCTGAGATTAAAAAAAAAAAAAAAAAATTGAAATTTCACTCAAATCCCGCCCGTTGCTAGTTATATCACTCAGCCAAGCTATATTTCACTCAGGCTCGCACTCAGCCGTCCTCCTCCATCGAACCCACCCTCACCGGCGACCAGTCCCCTAGACGGCACCGGCAACGACCAGTCCCCCAGACGGCATCGATGACCCACTCCAGCCCCAATATTCATTGCTTCGTGAACCAGTGCTCCACCGCGACCACCATCGGCTCAGCGAAGAAATTTGTTCATGACGAACCAGGTTTGTATTCGAAACTCTGAAATTATCTCCTAATTTTTAGAGACATTAGGGCTTTCACTGTGAAAGATGAAAGCTTGAAGAAAGCCAAGCCAAGCACATCCAAGCCCTAATTTTAGAGACATTAGCCCTAATTATTAGAGACATATTGAAGATGAAAATTAGGGCTTGGATGTGCTTGGCTGAAATTAGGGCTTGGCTTTCACTGTGACAAAAATTAAGGCTTTCACTGTGACAAAAATTAGGGCTTCGATAGTGACAAAAATTAGGGCTTCGACAGTAACTATTCTGTTCAACATTATATGCATTTGTTGAACACTGGACCAGTTGCACTACTTAAGCATTAATGTAGTCTCATTCTTTTTGTTGGTTTCATTGAATAGCTTGCTTGTGATGAAACCAAATTTGATTGACAAAATAAAGAATTATGAAGTATTAATGGTTTGTGGTCTTTTGATGTTACATTTAGCTGCGCAGGCTCACATTGAACTGTAACATAGAAATTTATTCCAGAATTCTACATAGAATAGAATTCCAAAATTCCAGAATTATTTATTCCAGAATTCCAGATAGGAAAGATTCTGTTTGATTCCAGAATTCCATATAGGAAATTATACTAAGTTCTTTTCTTATATTCCAGAATTCTGTTTGAGTAGAAGATCTTTTCTTATACTAAGTTCTTGAGGCATGTGCTTGTAAGAAATTATATCCATGACACTAAGTTCCTTATACTAAGGTTGTTCTGTGTTTGAAGATGTTACACAAGAACTTAGCAGTTGTTCCACACTCTGTCCCTTTAGCATTTTTGCATTAGTTAACAAGATCAAGATTTTATATTCCAAGCTTAATTGGTCTGTATCTTATTTTCTGCACACCCAAATGTATTAACATAGAGATTTTATCTAGAAAAATAATAAGCATTTTGTGGTTAATATTCATTCCAAGTGTAGATCCCATTATACAGTAATTAAATTTAGACTGCACAACACAATTTAAGGTAAATTTGTTGACATTTTTTTCTCTCTATCTTTTCTGTTTTAACTTAACTCAAAAACTGAAGGACCAATTGATGAAATTTGTGTTCATTATTGTATTTTCAAAACACAACTTAACCACACCACTTGGGTTTAGGAATAAGTTAAAAACTGCATAGATTTGGAAAGTTACAACAAAAAAAGATTACAAATACTGAAAGTTACCATAAACTGAAAGTTACAACAGAAAAAGATTACAAATACTTGAGGTGTCCATCAAAACCTACCACACAAGGCAGATGAAACAAAATGTAGACAATGGGAGTCCATGTTCATCCAATTTCCAGATAACTACTATACAAAAGGGGGTATTTTCCTAGCAACATAAAAGTTTTCATGTATGCAATATAAAAAAAAGGGTATTTGCCATTTAAAAAAGTTCTCATGTATGCAGATTTAAAAAATGGCTTCTTCTTCTAACATTAGCAACATAAGATTGGGACCGAGGCTGTGCAATTGTGGAAGAACCGCTGCCATACATATTGTAAGAACCAATGAGAATGGAAATCAAGGGCGTTTGTTCTTTGTTTTCCCATCAAGATATGTAAGTTTGTAATTCTAGCTATTTTCTTCCTTTAGTAGTCACATTAATATTTGTCTTATTCAACTAACTTATTCTCATGCATTGCAGAGTAACACTCTCACTCCCCATTGTAATTACTTCAAGTTCGTGGATGAAGATGATGAAGACGTTACGTCCAGAATCCGTTCAAACTGTACAGCTTGTGATGGTATAACAGTAGAAGACTTTAACAATGTAAGGACGAGGCTTGATGACATGGAAACGAACTATGGTCGAAGGCTTCAAAGGATGGAAAGGAATATCAAAGCGATGGTGTACTTCATTGTATTTTCTACCATTTTGTACTTTATGATGTAACTTTTGTACTTTATTGTATTTTGGGAAACTGAATGGAAGTTTGTACCATTTTGGGTTGTATGTACATCAACTTGTTATCTATTATCTGTTATGGAATGAACTATGGAATCAACTATGGAATGAATTATCTATTATCTATTTCCCTCAACTTGTGGCCTCAACTTTGGAATGAATGATGGAATAAATTCTGGAATAAAGTATGGCACATTTTGGAATGAATGAATGAATTATCTATTATCTACTGAATGAAGTATGGCATATTTTGGAATGAATGATGGTTGATTTTGGAATGAATGAATGAATGGAATTTTGGAAATTTAAGTTCATCTATTAAGTTTATTTGTTATCAATATGGCACATTTTGCTTTAACAACAGATCCAGACCAGGACCAGCATCAGATCCAGCATTAGCAGCATGATGTTCTGTTACTAGTATATCTGTTACCAGAATTAGCATCATCATGTTTTGTTAGTCAGATCCAGCATAAACTTCCTACCAGTTTATCTGTTACCAAGTTTATCTATTATCTGTTTTGATATTCTGGTTCTGAGTAGGGCAGCAGCAGTATGAAGCTGAAGCATGAACCATTTATCAGTATGGCAGCATGAAGCTGTAGCATGAACCATTTACCAGATACCAGTTAGCTGTAGCATGAAGCTGTAGCATGAACCAGCATGAAGCAGTCACATGAAGCTGTTCTGTTACCAGTCAGATCCAGGTGACGCATGAACCATTTATCTGTTACCAGCTGAAGCATGAACCATTTAATGGTTCTATCATTAACATACCACATCCAGCAAACCAGAACCAATACAAACTAGCATACCAGAACAGAACAGAACCAGCATACCAGAATTTATACATACATGAACCATTTATCAGTATGGCAGCATGAAGCTGTAGCATGCACCATTTACCACATACCAGTTAGCTGTAGCATGAAGTTGTAGCATGAACCAGCATGAAGCAGTCACATGAAGCTGTAGCATGAAGCTGTTTTGTTACCAGTCAGATCCAGCTGAAGCATGAACCATTTATTTGTTACCAGCTGAAGGATGAACCATTTAATGGTTCTATCATTAACATACCACATCCAGCAAACTAGAACCAGCATAGCAGAACCAATACAAACCAGCATACCAGAACAAAACAGAACCAGCATACCAGACCCAATACAAACATGGACACTAGATGGGATAATTT